AGCAGCGACAGCAACAGCAGCAGCAGCCACGGCAGGAATAGTAGTCGTCGTCGTGGTGGTAGTAGACCGCAGCATCAGTAACTATCGGCCTAAAGGACTCTTTGGCTCCAGCGGCCTTCTGCTCCGTCTGGATGCGTACAACGGCGGCCCCGCACTTCTCTGCAACTCTGTTGACGAAGTTGTCCTTGACCTCAGTCCCGAATCGCGGTCTGACGAAATTGCCTTGGCCCTTTCACTGCGAGCCCCAAACCAAAACAAGAAACAGATCCAAAGCAATCTCCCACTGATTGTCGTGAAAGGGGTGGAGAGCTGGGTGATCTCATGTGCTCCAGGAAACATAGAGCACAAGCCACGACCGACAATGATGCGTTCAGACAAGTCGTGTCGCTGTGTCCTTCTGACCTCCGCAGCGAACTCAAACTCTGAGCCGTTAATCCAAAGCTCTGTCGATCCCGAGCCAAACGACACAGCATCACAAGAAAACCGAGTCAACAGTCATGAAATCTCCTTCTGGGGCGCAGAGCCTGCCGCGCCTTGGACACGCTGCCCTGCTTGTCGGGGTGGTGGTTGCTGACCTCGGTCTCTAATGCTTCACCTGCGAATGTGTGGAAAATATCCGTGTCAACAATGCCGCTTGCAGCAGGAGCGGCTGAACTTGATGCCTGTGACGAGTACCCCGAAGTAGTCGTATTTGGACAGTGTGATTGTAGGAGTATCTGAAATTTGAAAGGAGTCCGGGTCAGAGCTCGCTTGGCCAAATGTCCTGGCAACACTACGAGGAAGACTGTCAAGCCTGATTTCTACAAAACGGCTTTGCTTGCAGTAGCAGCGTCCGTTTCAGCCAAATTGCATAGCCGATGCCGTAAGTCTGCTGCCATCAGCCGTCATCATCAATCATGCTAGTGGCTGTAATCGTGTGCTGAGCTTTCTGCTCCGGGAACACCTCCTTTTCGAGGGTCTGCAATGGACAGCGGCCTTGAATCAGCAGGATGACTCGGATTCAAGGGAGGGCATGACCTTCAGCAACTTGAGGTTGGGCTGACAGGATCAGGATAGATTAACTGCCCTTTGGGTTAGTCTGCGATGTACCTGCAAGATCGCAAGATGGCTATGTGAAGCCGGCGGTCCGTCGTTGGGAGCCATAGCGTCTGGGAGCCATAGCGTCTTTCCCTGAATCCCCATCCCGCCCTATCCCTGTGTCCGCCCGTCCCCCTAAAACAACGTCCATCCTGCCCCTGCCCGTTCCACACCCGACCGCATCTATGAACAACCTTATCCTTGTTTTTGACTACAAGTATCTCTTTGTTCCTTGTTTCTCCAAGCGAACGGCGGCCAAGCATCTGAAAGCGCATCTCTGTCTCTATCTGTATATGCTAGCTCGCAAGCCATAGAATTGACAACGGGATTTCGTTCGAAGTCAGATCTGACTTGACCACATGAGCTACGCGAGCTGCAGGAACCGGCGTGGAAGTCAACATGCTAAGGTTTCTCACTAGAGCCACAGTGACCTCCATGCTTCTTTGAACAAAACCCTATCAAGCTTCTTTTCGCTGTAGCTCACAGTTTCTGTGAGGCAGCTCTTCAGCCACCGATTGAACCCAGGGGCAGGTCTGAAATCCAAGACTATCTTGGTGGCCGGCATCGTTGCGATGCCACAGGGCCCTGTTTTAACGGAAAGGGCATCGTCCGAACAGTCTCAGAGGTCATGAGGCAACCGGGGAGAAACCTCTGCCCTGGCTGTGTCCCGGCACTGGCTTTGTTAACTGCTGAGGCTGGCTCAAAGCGCGTGACAGCGAGACTCCGCGGTATTCCACTATCTGGAATCGAACTGCCTATAAGTCTGTAGGTCCTTCAGCATATCTGCACTTCGTGATGTATGATGTTGCTCCTGATTTACTTTGACTAAAATTCCCAACCCAGGGCTACCCCAAGGATTTCGTTTGAACGCTTCAGCCCTACAGATCTAATCCGGGAAAGTGTGACGAAAGACCACCTATGCATAGGCGATCACCAGCGTTCGGTTTGCTCTTATTTCGGCGGGTAATATCACTCGTAGGAGCGGCATAGCCAATGCTGCGGCAAGGAACAATCTGCAACATCCTGAACCTTCAACACCACCAACAGGAAAACCAGGACCAATGCCTGAAAACTGTCAGCAACTCTGAAGCTCTGAACAATAGAAAGGGCATCACTCCCGACATCCGGATCAGAAGCCCTGCAGAAGACCACCTCTTAACTGTTGACCTCCTCTTTGGATCATGAGCATCGAGGTGAACTTCATCCTCGACACCGAACTCCATGCCCTAAACCACGAAAGCCCAAGCCAGGACTCCAAACCCCGTGAGCCTCACCCTGCACCCTTTTTTCATAAAACCCCTTTTCAAACCGCCCAAACCCTCAACCCCTGAACAGGCCCTAAACTCTAAACCCTGGTTGGGATCTTTCTTCGGCCCTGGGCAGCGAAGAGGCGACGAACAGCTTCGGAGTCGACGGCGTCTGCCCGGGCCACTCTTGGCTCGTAGGCAGCCTTAGGGTTCTCAAACCCTTCGAGGATTCCGGGGTTTTGAGTTTCTGGTTTGGGGCATGGTGTTCGGGGTCTAGGACTTTAAATGAGTCTAGGGCTTTGATGCCTCTGGTCTTAAAGAAGTGGATAGGCACGGTCAGCGTATGGCCAGCCAGAACCCAATCCCTGCAACAAGCAAAAACAGCTAGCTGCTCCTCATGAACCGGTCAGAGGATTTGGGTGTCGCGGAGGACTTACGACTCGAGGCGTGGGCACGGATTCGTGAAAACCATGCGCAAGCATTTTCGGCATTCAAATCAGACCAAGGCACATCCAGAAGAGTGCAGAGGGATCTTCGGGAACAGTCGTGGCAAAGCTGCTGCTGACAAAACCGACAAATCAGGAAGAAGGGACCTGAACAGGCATTCAGGGTAAACCTTTAGCCCCAGAACTTCAAGCAAAAACAGAACAGACCTGAAGCCCTCGAACGAGAGCTTTGTGCACTGCAGCATTGCTTTGCAACAGAGGGCAGTTGCTAAGGTTGTGTTATCATGTTGTGTTTGTCAGGATTCCTTAGGACGTTCCGCAGCTCTGAGGCACCGGCCGGTGCTACCGATCTCAGGCTGGCTGCAGGAACTGCAGCTGGCACCTCCATCGGCAGTTCCGCCTCCAAAGCGCTCGAGGCTGTGTCCGTTATCACATCTCGGCCAAATCGCCAAGGAATGACGGATCTCCTCAAATCCCGCCGGGTTCTGGCCCACGTGGGGATTCTGGTTTTGCAGGAAGCACTTCCCACATAGCGAATAGTTGCAGCTATAGCAGTGCATTCGCACCTGCCCTGCTGGTATGGCAGCTAGGCAGAAACGACACTGCACAGACGATGACCAGTAACTTGGCTGGGACCGCACCAGTGCGTGGCCGTCCAGACACGTGACAGCAGCTCGCTGGATATCGCCCCTTCCGATGTCCATGCTGGACCATCGCTCCAGTGATGGAGGCGCTTGGCCCGCGACTTTGCCTCAGTTCTGTGAAGCACCCCGAAAACAAGCCTCTCGCTAAACAGACCCCATGCTTTAAGCTAAGTCTCTGAAAACATCCTGCAGCAACACGCTTGCTTGCAGGGCCGGCATGTAGGGCTCCAGCGATGCTCCGGGAACCTTACTGCGGCTTCGCTCAGGATTCAGGCTTTCGGATGGACAGGGTTTCCTAGTTGCATATCTTCAAAGTCTTCACAAATGAATGGTTGCGGTTTCAGAGGTCCAGTTGCATAGCCTCCTTGTGTGGATCCTTTGTGTGGGACTTTGGTGATTTTTCACTCTTTTTCAGAGCTCCTGGTAACAATCAAGGCTGTAAGCCTGTGCTGTTTTTAATTCTGATTTCCAGTGTATTGCTTTTACTTTCAAGCAAGCTGCAGCAGTGGCCTGCTGTTTGCTGCCCGCCTGGTCAAACCAACCGATGTCGAAGGTCCCATCTGGGTGCTCCATCTCTACCTGCTTCAGGGTTGCAGGTTTCGACCTCCGGCTGAGGCTACGGCTGAAGTGTTTGTGATTTGGGTTGTAGGGTTTCGGTGCACGTTGACTTCCTGCACGTTCACATACTGCGCATACCAGTTTCACGAACCAACTTTCCTTCGCCCGATCTGCCAAGCGAGTTTTTGTAGTTTGCTGACTTGGCGTTCTCCTCGCCACTCGAAACACAAGGACTTTGACTTGGGGAACTACCCACCTCTTCCCGCACCTCTGAGGGAGACGTCCTGCTAAGAAAGCTTTACTCGAAAGGCACGTCACCCTGCAGAGGCACATGGCCATCACCTCAGCCCCCGCAAGCGCATTTACGAGAATTGGCGCACCTTGAAGTACAAGCTCAAACAGCCTGAACCCATCCAGATGTCGAAGATGATCTCAAACCTCCAGCCTTCACATTCAAAGCCATAAACCGGAACGCCAAACCGTGCCTGGGCCACAACTGGCGCACTGGCACCCACTGAACGAAACAGAACCTCGGCTGGCGGAGGCTTTTTGGAACTCACAAGCAGGTTCAATCCCTTCCCCGCTGTCAGCGGGAAGATTTCACAAAGAAGACGGGTTTCGGATTTACAGATTTCTTCTTCCTGCCGTGACGCCGTGACCAACTGGTCCTGATGCTCTGAAACATTTGAGGATTCGTCATCCTACAAATGGAAACCCGAGTCTCTGTCTGCAGCTCGGCAGCCATCCCTGTCAGCTGCCGCATAGTTGCGTCCTTCGTACTTTCTGCCAGGAGGACCGTGGGGCTCTTATGCAGTTCAAGGCTCAGGCTTGAGGGGACGGAGGGCTTTACCTGCTAGTTCCCACCTCTCTGCTGCTTCAGGCCTCTGAGCGGGAAACCGCAACATCGACTCGACAAGCCGAGAACTTTCACATCCTCTAAACTGTGAACTTGTCGGATGCACCAAGCCAGCCACTGTCATCAATGCCCATGGAAATCTTACTTACTTCTACAAGTTCAATCTTGAGGCTTCCAAGTATCAACCGCAGCTTTCATAACTTCGAGGTTACACATTAAAATACGCGATTCCAAGCCACAGCAGGAGCAAGCCCAGGTCACAGGTGGAGGTCCGAGTGTTGTTGCCGATATCCTTGCCGCTGCCGCTGCTGTTGCTGCTGTTGTTGTTGGCAGGTTGCGGGCTTGCCGTCGCGAAGAGTGCAGCCATCTCGGGGCTGCAAACTGCCAAAACTCGAGTTTTGGCACAGAGTTGCCTTTCGTATCGGGCTTTACAGAGTGTGTTCCTGGAAAGAACCAAAAACCAGAGGTTTTGCACATTCTCATGCCTCTGTTATCGGTATTTACAGTGATCCAGGCCTTCTCCGTTTCAATTTTTTCGGCTGCTTTCTTCTTTGGATGTCATGTGTCTGTTTCCTTTTGACTTCCGACGGAGGCAGGGATTGGGGGGGATGAGGAAAGCGGGTTGGGATGGGGGGATGATAACGTCCGTTATGATGATTATGATGAGTATGATGTTGATGATGAACGATAACGATGATAACAACAATGCCAATGGCAATGTTGCTCCGTGTTGCTGCTGTTTCATGCTTTCGGTGACACGGTCCCAATGCAAAGTCTCGAGAGGCCCATGGGCCCTCCAAACAAAAACTTTAAAGACGGACCCAAAACAAAAGCAAGAACAACGACGAAGACCGGTCTTTACAACGCTTTGCAAACACACACTAACAAAACGGACCAAAAAACACAGAACGAACAATTTGCAAAACGTCGTCTACTGCACGAAAACCACAAAACTCAAGTATGAAACCGCAACAACAAGCGAACGACGCACCCTTCGCGAAGGCAAACCCTCCACAATCCTTGTTGTTGATGTGGTTGTGGTTGTG